CAATGAGTCAAACAAAAAAAACGAAGCTTCCAATACATCCTGCCTGCATCCTGCTACTAGTGCCTCCTCCCTCACTCTACTGGGGATTACTCCTGTCCCATCTCTCCCTGCTCTCCCCATAGCCATCCCTGTAGCCATGCCACACCCAAGTGTCTGAACTGTGATGGCCCGCATGAATTCCATTTGCCTGTTTGCCCTTCTGCCCCATGGCCAGCTACCTAAGAGTCTGGGACTTCGGAGAAACATGAAGAAGAGGTGGAGATGGACAGCTCTACATTGGTTGGGATACCTATAACTATAACACCAACTTCTATACTGGCTTAGGACAATGATTATGGAAATAGGTCTAGGAAACTAGTTGATGAGGGGGTTGTCATGGCACTTCTTCACCCTACGATCTGAATACTGAATTGGGTTACTAGTCAGTTTTGGTAGGGAGATTTATTTTGTTCAAGATTGCACCTTTAGGTATGGGTTGCAAGGCTAGAGCAGTACTGTTAGTAGTAGTATTTTATTCGATTTGGTGGGAATTTAGGTGGCCTCGCTATGTGGAGCAGATACGTGCTGGACTGTTAATGAACTTGTACTTTAGCTCTGGTGTTGGTACTCACTCAGCAGAGTAGCTGACGGTATGGGGTTGGTGGACCGGCATCTTGTATTTAGTTGCCTGTTTTTAGAGGGGGTCGTACGGCCCCAGTCCCATCAGTAGATCCTGGCTGGCTTAAGCTACTGTCTGGGAGGTGCTTGATTACAACCCAGATTTGGTGTAACAAGTATAAATAAACTTCGATTGAATTTGGACACCTGTACCAAGAAATTACACCTCTCTTCTGCTGTGCGTCATCTTAAACCTGTAAACCCTGACCCAGAACCCTTGAACCCTGAACTTCGTACAACTCAGCTCAGTTGTGTGCCTGCACCTGAACCTCTCCTCCGGACTCCTGCCTGCTACAATCATGTTGTGCCTTGGGCTACCTGACCCTCAGACCCTACCCTTACAATTAGTGCAATGTAGCCAGAACTACGGGGATACACAATATAAATATTGAAGTATCGGTGTAGCTTTCAGAGAGAGGATCGCTACTGGCCGGGTCCCCGACCACTTCTCTTCTGTCCCTGACCTCTCCTCCCCTGAGCAGATCAACTTAGCTCTTCTAAACCACTTCTTCCCTCACGAGATCCCTGCTCCCACTCCATCTATTCTTATACCCTTCCGTGACTCACCCATTCTCTTAGCTGAAGAAGTCCAGAGGGCCCTGTCTAAGTCGTCAAACTTGTCAGCACCAGGCCCTGACCAGATCCCCTACAGGGTCTGGAAGAGGGTCCATGCAGCTAACCCCTCCCTCCTTGTCAACCTCCTCTTATCCTTGGTGTCATTCAGCTTCCACTCACCCTCTCTCAAAAAGGCTAATGGAGTTGTTCTCTCCAAGCCAGGTAAATCAGACTACTCCTTACCCACTTCTTTCTATATTATCGTCCTCCTCCAGACTGTTTTGAAAATTCTAGAGAGGATCATTGCCTCTCAACAATCTTTAGTCGCCCGCTTGCGCGGCCTGATCATCCTAAACCAATGCAGCTCACTCCCTGGTCTCAGCACCTATGACGGCTGCACCGCCCTCACCCATGAGATCCGCTGCCTGCAGAGGCTCGGGCTCAAAGCCTTGTCACACTTCCTTGACATCAAGGGGCGGTTTGACAACATCAACTTGTCATTGCTTACTGCTTTTCTGAAGTTCAGGGCGGTGCCTCTGTACATCTGCATCTGGGTTCAGTCTTTCCTTTCTAACAGACAATGTTGTCTTCACTTTCAAGGGTTTCCTAATGTGTTCTCTCCAGTTCAGGTGGGCATGCTACAAGGGTCTCCTATCTCTCCTCTTCTGTTTGTCATTGATGTGTCTCCTCTTCATTTGGATATTCCCAAGGGAATTATGTTTTCCTATGTTGATAATTTCACTGTTACGGTGGCTTCTCCCTCTGACAGACGCAAGGTTCAGCTTTTGCAGCATTACTTTCTAGCTTTGAAGAGAAGGGCAGGTGCGATAGGCATGTCCTTCTCCGTGCCCAAGATTGAGCTCTCCCATTGGAGGACCTCAAGGGATCATGGAGCTCGCTGCTACACCCCAGTTATCTTGGACGGTACTCTCTTCCACCCTGCCGGGCTGGTTCACTAACTTGGCTACTGGGTCATCCCTAGCTTGGGCCCTCACCTCACTTCGCAAAATGATTGGTGCTTGCCCAGCGGGCTTTTGTAATCATAAGACAGCTGTCTTTCCTGGGCAAAGGCTTACCTCCTTATCTTAATAGGAGACTCACTGTGGAGCTCGTCCTTCTGATTCTGTCCTACGGGGCCGATCTTCTGGTCCCCAACGCTTCTGCACTCCACAAGCTGGAGGTCTTCTGGAACCGTGTTCTCCGCTGGGTGACCAACTGCTTCCACTCTACCCCCACCTCAATCCTCCCCTGCGACGCCAGCATTCCCCTGTTGGTAGTCCTCCACCCCCACAAGTGCTGCGTGGCGGCCTTGAGGATGGCCTGCTCACTGCCCGAGGTGAACCCAGCTTTGGCTAGGCTCCCTCTGTCCTTCCCCTCTGCTTCAGCAAAGAGGGCCGTGGATTCCAACCAGGCCCTGTCTGTCGGACTGAAGGGCAATGGCTACCCCCTCCTCTGG